ATGCACTGTGGCAGACAGAGCAACAGGAGGGGCAAAGGAGCAGAGACACGGGAGGAATGAGAGCAAGCCTGAGAGGGACAGAAAAATCAAATAGGAGAGAGAAAAACAGAAAAAGGGGGTGGGAGCAAGGAGGAGAGGAGGGAGCATACAGGAAGAAAAAGAAGGAACCAGATGTTAAAAAAGAAAAAAAAAAAGATTGAGACTATAGGAAGTACTACCCCAAGATGAACCAGTAAAATAGAATAGGGAAATAATGCAGCCTGCGTCACAAAAGGCTGTTAATAAAGGAAGCATGTTTGCAACATTTGCAAGTGAAAAACCTAAAGACAGTAATAACAGGGTTGGAGCAGGAAGCAACAGTCCCAGAAAGAACAAGAATATTCTAGAACTTACAGAAAAGGGAGAAGTATAAACAAAACAGAGAGGAAGAATGTTTATATTAGAAAAGATGAGGGAGATGTTTATATTAGGAAAAAAGTGTTCTCATTTCTGTATTTATGCTTAAAAGAATTGCATATAAAATGTTGTTCTGATTCTAGTGTGCCAAACTCAACAATCCTTAAATAGACTTCGAAAGCCCTGAATTGAAAAATTTCACTCCAGAATTGTATGCATGTATGTGTGTATGTGTTTGTGTATGGAGCACTATTTAGACTATTTGTAACCTATGTGACTGCCATGTCAATTATTTCACCCTAGATGGGGAAACTCTAAATGCTATCTCAGTTTAACTTAACCTGGCTGAATTACAGGGTCTCAGAGAATCTCTTAAAAGAAAATATTTCTTCTGAAACTTTGGATTCTTATAAGTTCCAGTGCATTTTCTTTCTCCAAATAACACTCTGAAGAATACCACCGTGTTAGCGATCCAGTCCTTTTGGGTTAATTCCTTAAAGGTGTTTCTTGCTTTATTTAAGTCAGAATGTATAAACATGGTTTCAGCAGCTATTCTGTAGAAGATAAATAAATAAATTGATAAGTAAACGAGAAAGGATATCTATCTAGACACAGTTTCCTCTAGAGCTTGCCCCATTTCAGTACAATTACTTTTTTTCTCAATTTTAAAATAATTTGGCTAAACATAAACACAATAGTAGTATACAATACGGGTATTTCTAAAATGCCCCAAAATATCAAGGCTGCATTAATCATGTATTCCTTAAGACTGTAATTCAGATATCATGTTATCTAAAATGAATAATCAGGCATGGGGGTACACAGCTTAGTTGTAACAACACCTGCTTAGTATGAACAAGGCCCTGTGTTCCATCTCCAGCACCGTAGAAGAAAAGAATGTTTATGTAAAAAATACCTTCTAAGAAAAAAAAATGATATTTTTTTTTTCCGGTTTCCAGAAAAATATGACTAGCTCTTCCAATTACATGAACTGAAAATGGGGTCTAAAAGAAAGGGCTTCAGCATGCCTGTAATTTCAGCAACCCAGGAGGCTGATGCAAGAGGTCACAAGTTTGAAGCCAGAATCAGCAACTTAGACCTTGTCTCAAAATAGAAAATAAAAAGGGCTAGGGATGTAATTCAGTAGTAGAGTATCTGTGGGTTCAATCCCTAATATCCTGTAGTCACCCCACACAGAAGAGGCTTCAGAGAAGTAAATTCTTAGTATCTCAAGAGAAAATTATCAATGAAATGTGTCTTATGAATTCTGTTCTGATGCTGAACAGAACAGATTCACTGTCTAAAATTAAAATTAAGCATATTCTTTGTTAATACATATATTGCATGTATGAAAGTAGGAATAAATTCTTCTTCTTTTTTTTTTTTTTTTGGTACTGGGGATTTAACTCAGGGGCACCTTATCAGGAGCCACATTCCCAGCCCTAGTTTGTACTCTGTATTTAGAGACAGGTCTC